CCACTTAGAAATAATCCTTAGTATTTTTCTAACTAAAACCATATATATATATATATTTTTTTTTCCCCCCCTTTATTTCTTTTCTTTTGGTACTGGGGATTGAACCCAGAGGTGCTTTACCACTGAGTTGCATTCCCAGCCCTTTTTATTTTAAGGCAGGGTCTTACTCAGTTGCTAAGGCTGTTGTCAAACTTACAATACTCCTGTCTTAGCCTCCTGAGTTGCTGGGATTACAAGTGGGTGCCACTGTGCCCAGCCTTAAAACCATATATATTTCAAAGTGAAATCAAGTTTTTGGAAGAAGTGAAATTCTACAGTAATTACAGCTAAAAGTGAAATGCTTTTTAGAAAATAAGCCATCAAACTTTATCTTAACTATTAAGTACATGTCTTGTTAGATTTAAAGCTTCTTTAACCTGTTAATAACACTTGAGGGTTTTTTTGTTTTAAATATTTATTTTTTAGTTGTAGTTGGACACAATACCTTTATTTATTTGTTTTTATGTGGTGCTGAGGATTGAACCCAGGGCCTCACACATGCTAGGCGAGCGCTCTACCGCTGAGCCCCAGCCCCACTTGAGTTTTATATAGTAAATAAACTAGGAAGTAAAATTGACTCAGAGCAAAATGAATGACTATATAGACATAGAACCAGAAGTAAAGGTATACCTCTATGTTCTTTAGATTAAGAAACAGGATTTTTTTTTGGAAAATTTTTTAATTTTTAAAATTTTTCGGTACCAGGGATGATTGAACTCAGGGACATTTAACCACTGAGCCACACCTGCAGCCCTTATCTTTTTTAGTACCTTTATTTTTTAATGTGGTCCAGTGCCTCATATGTGGTAGGTGAGCGCTCTGTGATTGAGCCACAACTGCAGCCCCAGGAAACAGGATTCTTAATCTTAGAGTATAATTAAGTATAGATCATTTTTGTATCTTTTTGCACTTTAAAATAGTGGCCACATAATTGTAGCCAGTTTAAAAATAGTGCTTTAATATTCTACTAACATTTTTCTTTTTACAGCTGGGAATGGAGGAAGAAGATGTGATTGAAGTTTATCAGGAACAAACAGGGGGTCATTCAACGGTTTAGATATTCTTTTATTTTTTTTTCTTTTCCCTCAATCCTTTTTTATTTTTAAAAATAGTTCTTTTGTAATGTGGTGTTCAAATGGAATTGAGAACTGGCACCCATCTCTTTAAAACATCTGGTAATTTGAATTCTAGTGCTCATTATTCATTATTGTTTGTTTTCATTGTGCTGATTTTTTGGTGATCAAACCTCAGCTCCCTTCATATTGCCCTCTCCTTTTAAAAAATTACACGTGTAAACAGAGAGGCCACCTTTTTCAGGACTGTGCATTTTCAGGCTTTTGGTGGTAAATAAGATCGACCAATGTGAGTGTCTATATAATGACTTTCCAGTTGGCCCTGAAGTTCTAGCATGTGACTGCTTCACTCCTGGACTGTGACTTTCAGTGGGAGATGGAAGTTTTTCAGAGAACTGAACTGTGGGAAAATGACCTTTCCTTAACCTGATGCTACTTTTAAAATCTGGGGGTCTGGACCAAAAGAGGAGGAATATCAGCTTTGGAGTCAAGACGAACAGACATGGTGAGAGTAACGACTAACTCCAAAGATGGCTTCACTGAAGAGAAAGCATTTTAAGATTAAAAAAAAAAAAAATGTCAGAAGATCCCGGAAAAGTTCTAATTTTCATTAGCAGTTAATAAAGTTATTCATGCAGAAGTGTGTACAACCGAACACTGCTCCTTTGATTTTATTTGTACTTTTGGCCTGGGATATGGGTTTTAAATGGACATTGTCTGTACCAGCTTCATTAAAATAAAACAATATTTGTAAAAACCTTACTAATGTTTATTTTATTTTAATTGTATAGGAAAGAAAAAAGAAAATGCCTAAAATAAGGTTTTCTTGCATAATACTGGAAATTATTTGCACATCATACAAATATTTCTTCAGTACTGTATAGTGATGATGTTAATGACTTTGAAGCACTGGAAGTTATTGAAGTGCCTTCTGAATCAAAGATTTAATTAAGGCTAAAATATCTCTTTAAAAACTCAGTGATTTGTTTTTTAAAAATTTGATATTCCTGTATGGTGCATATATATGATAGTTACCCAATCATGTTGAACAAGTGGGCACGCCAAAAGTTCTGAAATTGATTTATATTGATAATTTTAGTGTTCCCTTTAACTCTGCTTAGTTAAGGTTTGGTATATTTTGTTTATATTTTCCTTTTATTTCTTTATATATTAAATCTATAAAACTGTGTGTAAAATTAAAATACCATATTAGTTTGTTCATTTCAGAGTGCCTAACTTCTTTTTTTTAACTCATGAATACAGAATTCAGTATATCTGTGCATACATATAATCCAGTTTCATGTTATCCTAGTGTCATCTGACTACTTAAAAAGAGCAAATAAAACCAATCTTTTATAAACAATCATAGCTTATATACTCTATTCAAGTCACTAGCTGAAAAATAGATTGACTTGATATTAAAAATGCTTAATATTTGACCCTAACTGAAAAGTTATTTGTATGTAATTTAGATCTTCCTGGCCTTTATCATTATATTCATTAGTGACTGGAATTAGGCCCGTTTTTAGAGAATCTTTATGAGTTGTTTCTGTCAAGATTGAATAACAGATCTGATTGGCTATTAGAGCCATCCAGAATACATGAGCATTTAATCTTATATATATTTAAAACAAAAAAATTTTTTTTGTAGTTGTAGATGGACACAATGCCTTTATTTTTATTTATTTTTATGTGGTGCTGAGGATCAAACCCAGGGCCTCACACATGCGAGGCAAGAGCTCTACCGCTGAGCCCCAGCCCCAGTCCTAATCTTATATTTTAATTTTGTTTGCAATTCTAAACATCTGAAGGCTCTCAACGTTTAGATAGTAGAACTTACTTTAAAAGTAATTTTGTTTTTAGTTTATTGGATTCTTCTAAGTGCACTGCACTCTGCTGTTCAACTTAAAAATGTGCTTATCTGTTGAAGTAGTGCTGATAAAATAGGTGCTTCACAGTAAGAATCTAATAAGAATATATTTGAAAGGGACTTTGAATCACATTTAGTGTAGCCACATTAGCTGGTGCTTGGCTGTAACATCCTACATGTAAAAGAAGGGAGAAAATAAAGTCAGTAATGATAATTTTCCCCACAAAGGTGTTTTCCTTGAGTGTTAATACTTATGTTCTTGGTTGAGTTGTTTGAGATACTCTTACCTGATTGAGTACTTAATATTGAGTGAAGTGATTGTGCACATAGGGTCAACAAGCTTTTTTTTTTTTTTTTAATATTTACTTTTCAAGTATCGGCGGACACAACATCTTTTTTTGTATGTGGTGCATGAGGATCGAACCCGGGCTGCACGCATGCCAGGCGAGCGCGCTACCGCTTGAGCCACATCCCCAGCCCAAGGGTCAACAAGCTTGATAAAAAAAATTATATATTTTTTTAGTTTTAGGTGGACACATTATTTTGTTTTTATGTGATGCTAAGGATTGAACCCAGTGCCTCATGCATGCTAGGCGAGCACTCTACCACTGAGCCACAACTCCAGCCCGAGAAAAAATTTAAATGACGTGTTCAAATTCACTGTGATATTATTTAGCATGTTGGCTATTTTCTATAAAACAAGGAGTTGAAGTACACATTAGATCTAAGCAAGTACATAATTTAGCAATATAGAATCCAAATTAACTTCTGGGTTGTAGAGGTGTAATGCATATAGAAAGCAAATACCTGAGCATTAATCAGAAATCAGAGGGAATAACTTGTGAATATTAAGTTTTTCACTTGTGGACAGTGAAGTATAGAGTAGGGTCAAAGGAAATTTGTGAGAAAATGCAGGTTTAGATTCTGGGTTGATTGAACATCCTTTTATACATCTTGTTTCTAAAGCTCTTTCATAACTTTTAATGATGATTTTGTGATAGATCACTTTTTTTTAAAAGGGATGTTCTATTAGATATAAAAAGATGTTATCTGATGTGATGGCACATGCCTATAATCCTAGCAACGTGGGAGACTGAAACAGTAGGATTGCAAAGTCGAAGCCAGCCTCGGCAACTTGGCAAGACCCTGTCTCAAAAATTATAAATGATTGGGGCTCAATCCCTAGTACCGTAGGGTGGGAAAAGAAAAAAATATTTAAGATAAATTATCTCCTCAAAACTTCCTTTTGGAGTCTGTGTAATTATTAAAATTTTGTGAGTGGTTGATTTGTCCACGCACAGAAACAAAATCTCAAGATTTGTTAATTTTCAGGGATCAAAATAACAAAAACTTTTTGTCATGTTGGAAATGTTCTACCTCTTAGCTGTTAGCTACAGTAGTCTTGTGGCCATTGAGTACTCGAAAAGTGGCATGTGAGAATTGATTCACAAAAAGGTCATCTTGTTTAAATGAACATTTAACAAGTGATGACAAACATACTTTGTTCTGAATAGACAGTTAATTTTGGATTCTTGGATTAAAAGATCATGGTTTTTGCCTTATGTTGGGATTTCTTAATATATAAATAAATGAACTAGCTCCTCTTGGCTAATTCAGAATTATTTGCATTACAGATTCTCTATTAACCTACAACTCTACTAAAATACATTGGCTGAAATGAAATACATTGAATATCCTAAGATTACACAAAGTGTTTCAAACTAAAATTATGGAATTATGGGCAGTTCCAGGCATCAAAGGTTTTGGATTTAGTTGGGTCTAGAGAATAAAATAAAGTGTTAAGTAGGCAAAGGGTTTATTGGGTTGAATGAGGTATCTGGTGCAGAGGTTAGGGTGGGAATGGTTGTTTTGGAGTAGAGAAGACCTTAGTTTTGGATTGAGGTTAACCAGGAGAAATGGAACTAATTGGGCTGAGGGCGGAACTTTATTATGAAAAGAAGTTTCTCTTTTTTCCATCACTGCTTCTCAACTTACTTTTTTAAAGCTTTCTTTTATCCTTATGGCCTGGGTATTTGTAGGAACTGGAAATAAGAGTAAACCCATGATCTGGAAATGTTCTGTGTCCACTGTAGGCCTCTGGCTTCCTTCTGTAGTTCTCGATGGAAATGAAGATGTTTTTCCAAAGCAGCTTTTTGCCTAAGGAGACAACCCCAACCCCAATTTCAGTAATGATTGATCACCCTAGAAATTGTCCTTATAAGTTGATAAAAGGTGAAATAAAGTCAGCTGGCATTAAGTTGTAATCCTTGGTGAAGTGGGCCTCCACCCCTTGGTCTGGTACTTTACTTGGTTTCTTGCTGTGAGCTACTTGGACTAGCTGACTTGTGAAATTTTCCACTTCCCCTCCAATGACTGTCAGTTTTCTTTTCTTGGAAAGTTGGAGCTCCAGTAGCTTGCTTTTGGTCTCAGTACTGCTGCTATGAACCCAACCCTGGTGTTATGATACACGGAATCCATATTTCTGAAGCTGAATCAGGCTTTGCTAATGATCTATTTTGTAGATTTCACATAATATCTGAAGAACGTCCAGGAGAGGAACAACTCAAGGTTAGTGGAAATTCTTAAAACAAGAGTTGTTCTGGCTGCCTTCTCTTTTGGTCCTCTAAAGAGTATTTATTGTCTTAGAGTCAGCTTAAGTTGTGGAAAATGCATTTCAGGGGGAGAAGTGTTTACCGTTTAGTTTGGAATCAAATGATTTTCTGGATTGTACTTCTTTATCCTTAAGATAGATTGATTGATTTTTACCCTTCGGTTTTTATAATTCTCAAAAGGAATGACTATTAGTTGCTTTCACTAAGAAAGGGACAGTCATAATGTAGCAACTACAGAGGACCTACTTTTAAAAGTGTATTGAAACCACATTACTCAAATCCTATTATCAGAAAGATGGATTGGTCACTATTGCAGAATAAAGGGGGAAAATGTCCTTGGCTCTTAAGGAGTTTGGTGCTATTTCTTCTAATAAGGCTCTCTTTAGATTTGATCTTGGCCTTTCTCTCTGACTTCATTTGGAAGTGTTCTTTGTCCCCTATTAACTTCATTATAGCCTTATCCTTCAATACCTTATTCTCATTTCTTTGTTCAGACCTTTGCACTTACTGTTTACCTGCTGAAATATTTTCCTCCTAGATGTTTATGTGATTAACTCCTTGTCATGCAGATCTCACTTTATATCTTACTTTGGCCAAACAGTCTGAAATAAGCTCCTGTAATCCTATCACATGTTTTAAATGTTTTCTGAATAGCATTTGTTGCTAGCTTTAAACAAATAAAGGTTTTTTTTTTTCTTCTTCTTCTTTTTTTTTTTTTAGTCTGTTTTGCCACCCCGACCTATGCCATGGAAGATACCTTGTCTGCCTTGCTTATTCCTGAATTCCCGGAGTCCAGAAGTTACATAATAATCTCAATAAATATTTATTGAGGAAGGCAGTGGATTAATAATCAGCCGGTTGGTCTTAGATCTTATCCTGGCACTGTCTTTAACTCATTGGTCGGCCCTGATCAAGATCTTTCCCTTCTTTGGGACATACTTTCCTTCTCTTTTGGTGGTGGGGATCCAAACAGGGCCAAAGCATGTTAGGCAAGTGCTCTGTAGTGCCACTGAACTACATACTCTCAGCCCTTGGACTTGACTTGCTCATCTCTAAACCGGAAGATTCGGATTAATGGTCTCTAAAGTCCCATTTCAGCTTATTATAAGTTTTGTAAGCTATGAAGGAATCCCATGATGTTTCCAGCCAAAGAATCACTCTTTGTGTTTTAGTTTTCCAAACCATGCTGGCTGGGGTTGAGGGGTGGGAAGAGGACTTCGTGCAATTGCAGTACTAACACTAGCACCAGGCAGTTAAGCCCTTGAACAATCCCCCTACTCAATCATTGCCCAAATACTAGTACCTGGCTTGTTCCTGATCTTGTTTCATGGCTTCCTCCAAAGCCAGCTTAGCTGCTTCCTCTTCCTTCTGCCTTCTCTCCTCAGCCTCTGCCCGAGCCTTCTCTTCTGCTTCACGTTTCTGCCTCTGGTACTCCAGTCGTTCCTCTTCAGCCATTTCCATCAGGCGTTTTTGTTCTTCTGCTAACTGCATTTCCAGTTCCTTCTGCCTTTGCTTCTCTGCCTCTGCAGAATACATAAGGGGCATGGGCTCAGCAAGAGGGCACTGTTGGGGAAAACCATATATATATATTTTTTTACCATGTAAGTATGTCTTTATTATCCTACTAGTAATATAATATACCAATATTAAATATTAAAGGAAATAGTTTAGGAGCTCTTTTAACATAATATGCTCTTCCATGAGAAAAATAAGTCAATTATGTGTTTCACAAGTATACTTTCCTGAGATGAGGTTCCTTGGACTTAGGTGTTTCACGTTTTCGTATCCTTGGGCATTGCTAAGGCAGGAGATGGGACCACACTTGCCTGGTGGAGCCAACACCGGCAGAATTAGGCTTCTAGGACAGTGAAGGCCCCCAACTTCACTGAAGTCTGGGTTGTGGCCTCAGGAAATAAGGAATGAAGGGTTGGGTAGAGCACTTGCAAAGTCCTGGGTTTGGTTCTCAGCAAAGGAGGGGAGGGGAGAGAAAGAAAGAAGGAGAGGAAGGAGTAAATCAAGGTAAGGGAGGAGAAGGGAAAAGAAGGGGAAGAGGAGGAGAAGGAAGGATTTGCCGTTGATACTCAGCTCACTCCCTAACTACCTGAGACATGCTAACAACATCCATGTGAAGACAGAAGCTATTTCTGCTAAGGCAAAAAGAAGGGAAAGAAATACAGCCAAGACATGGCTCTAGGCAGAAACTACATATGAAAATCTTCACTTGGTCAACCTCGCAGTAAGGGCAGACTCAGAATGAGATGAGTCTCCCAGTCTGAGTGCCCGCGAGGGTGCCCACTGTGTATCAGTAAGGAAAGGGGATATTAACAGGGATTTGCCTGGCAGGCCTCAGGCCAAGGATGCCAGCTACACCACAGAATTAGCTTCACTGGAGGCTTCTTGGTGAGAAAGAGGTAGTCATGTGGCATTTTGTGTTTTAAACCTTCAATAAAAGCCAAGAACAGGAAAACCATATTTTGATTCAACTCTCAAATCTGATTTCGAAGGACTCAGTGTGAGAAATTTTGAAGCCTATACTAATAAAAATCTGTGTGGAAGATTCTTCCAGAGCCTGGATAGCTCATGGGGTGGTATGGAGCAGGGTTGGGATGGAGTGTGGTATCAGATCAGGGTCTAGAGAAAGTTGGCGCTACGTAGCTGAACTGGCCCATTTAAAGAGCCAGGACCAGGAGGTGGCCATGGCTTCATCTGCTGAAGTTACTACCTCTTGAAAGTGAAGCTGAAGAGATTCTGTGCAATACCTGAAAGCATGCCCTAAAGCTACCCAGGTACTTGTAGTTATTCATTTGCTAGGGAAGGAAGCAAGGAAGAAGGTTGTGTCTCCAATTTATGTAGTTCTTAAACAATGTTGAAAGAGCAAAAGAAGGGACAGAGTCCCAGTTCAGATTATTGAGTTGGGAGCAGGACCCTGGAGTCATTTGCACAAGTCAGTCCTATTTATATTCTGACCATCTATTATCACTTCACTGTAGTCACACATAATAATCACTTTGAAAAAAAATAGCTCATACATTTAGAGTATTCATACACGAAAACCTAGGATAGAAATAAATGAACACCCACAGGAGAGATAAAAATATTTCTGCCCCAAATAGATGGGCAAGGAAAGAGCTTAAGAATCCTCCTCACCATCTCTCTCAGCTTCCTCTTGCTGCTTTTTTCTCTGTAGTTCTTGCAGTTTCCTCCGGAATTCCTCTTGCTGCTGCCTGGCTCTCTCCTGTGCTGCCTGCAACTGGAGCCGCTGCTTTCTCTCCACCTCTTCCTGCCGCTGACGTTCTTCTTCCAGTCTCTGCCGCCTCAAGCTGAGAAAACACAAGATGGTCAGTAAAATGGCAGGAAACACTGGGGCGTCCTTGTGAGATAATCCAACAGGCAGTACCCCTGGGGAGACTTTGCAGCCTACAGTGTCTAGGGAGCATCCCCTTCCAAGGAGGAGATGACTTAGCTTTCCAAGGGAAGCCAGGATTGAAGGATAGAGGCAAGAACATAAGGGTCCTAGAAGGAGAAGCCTAGAAGTTTCAGTACACAGCTCAGCACTCTGGGTTAGAGACCTTCAGTTCTCAGAGCTTCATTTTCCATTCTTATAAAATAGATTTTGAGTTTCCTGCCTCACACGGATATTGTGAAGCTAAAATTAGAGTTAAGGCCCATGAAAGGGCCTAGTGCAATGCAGACAGTGTGGTAAAATTCAATGAATATTGGTGGGACTGAATCTCAAAGCCTTCCAAGAAGAGTACATGAACATCTATCTTGAGTAACCTGGGCCAGGTTGCTCCTAAGGAAAACTGAGGAGACAGCAAAATGAGACATGGTTTTGCCTCATGTCAAGAGCCTCAGCTCTGAACCTTGCCCATCGAGGTGGTCCACTCATGCCTTTTCCATCTACTTTCTAACACAGCCGTGTCTCTTGGCTGCTGACCTACCGGTTCTCCTCTCGGCGTCTCTGCAGTTCCAGCTCCAGCTCCTCCTTCATCTTCTCTGCTCTCTCCAGCTCCTCCTGCTGGAGCCTGCTCTGCTGTTCCTGCTCCCTTCTCTTCCTCTCCACCTCCAGTCGCCTCATCTCAGCCCTCTCTGCCCGCAGCCTGTCCTGGGAAACCTTCTGCTGCTCCCTCTTAGTGAGGGCCTAAGAGACAAGAGTGTTCTCCGTCAAGGAACAGATGGGGCTGCCGCCCAGCCAGTGTTGTCTAATGAGAGATGGAGTCATGAAGCGGACTCCACTCTCTAACCACAGCCACATCTGCCCTGCCACCACCAGCTTGAGCACTGGGGTCCAGTTGACTTAGATTCAAGTCTCTTCCTCACTTACTTGGGATTTGGAGGTCACAATTTAATTGTCCTGATATTGTGATCTTCATGGGGCTGTTACCAGGATTCACTGAAATAATATAATGCCCAATATATCATAGGTTCAAGAGTTCTCAATCCTAGGTGCACTTTAGAATTGTCCAAGGAGGGGCTTGGGATGTGGCTCAAGTGGTAGCATGCTCGCCTGGCATGCGTGAGGCACTGAGTTCGATCCTCAGCATCACATAAAAATAAAATAAAGATATTGTGTTCACCTAAAAAACTAAAAATTTAAACATTAAAAAAAAAAAAAAAAAAAAAGAATTGTCCAAGGAGCTTTTGAAAATGGCTGGAGGCCAGAGCTCCATCAAGACCAATTAAATGAAAATCTCTAGGTAGAGGGTCTCCTTAGGTTTAAAATTAAACAAAACAAAAATTTTTAACTTGAAGCTTTGGCTGGAAACCACAGGGTCTAGGTAGGGATATTGTACCATGGGCAATTGTAGATATGGAGAGGTCAGACTCATATTTAATCAGTAGAAACCCACCTTCTCAAAAATAGGTCTTTCAGTTTGCATGACAATTGTAGTTTTCTTTTTCTCCCTAATGATTGCCTCTGACTCAGAAGTATGCCTGTGAGGGGAACTTTAGAGGCTCTTTCTTCATGAGATTTCTGTGTCCAACCCAAAGTGAAAGCTCCTTGCTTTTTATCTTTGCAGAGGTAGGACAGTATTATGGATTGATAATAAATCTAAGAAATTCTGATGATCTAGCTGGCTCAGAAAAGTTCTGCCCATAGATTAATATTTTCATCTGTTGTGCAGAGCAGAATTCTGTTATCTAGGCTGCTGAGAGGGTTTGAGAACTACACAGGAAAAAAATGTCTAAAATCTTATTTGGAAGACATGGTACCATAAAATAGACAATCATTTAAAATAGTGATGAGTCCTGAATTTGGATTTAAATGATCTGAGTTTAAATCTTGGCTCAACCATTCAATAGTACAATTTCTGGTCCCCTGGCATTTAACTCACAGGTCCATAAACTGTGGTTAATCACACGTGGTTCACAAGTATGATAAAGGTTAAAGGAGACAACATTATTTACCATATGCACATGAAACTTAAGCAAGCTAACCACATACTTTGCTATGTGTGCATTTGTAGTGTTTAAAGATACTTTTTGTTTGTTTGTTTTATAAGATGTCTTAAGATGTTTACAAGATATTTAGTGTCTGCATCTCAGTGGAAGAGATAGTGATATGTTTCAATAGCAAAGGGAAAATGGGCTGTGTTGTTTTTACTGAGAAATGATGTATCTATATATGTGGCATTCTTTTTGGTGAACTACAGAGAATTTTAAGAGTAATTTTCCTCACACTCAGTTTTTATCTTTAAACCTCCAAAGGAGAATCTGAGCCTCTGCATCAAAACACCTCTTCTGTGAAAAGCACCTTGTAGAAGCAGTTGTGTGTATACAAGCTGTTGTGTACCACAGATAAGCAGATTCTGAAAGAAGGTATTTCCTTGGACTTGGGAGACAGGTAATAGATGAGCTCCAGGCCAAGTACAGGATAATCACTTGGCTCTGAAGGCCTGTATCTACCTTTCTCTGCTCTGAGGAGATGTGCACCTCTCATGGGTGGGTGCTTTGCCCACCTCCTGCTCTTTAAGGGGTTAATAGGAAGCTTTAACAATTTTGGGCCTCATAGAATGCCTTACTTCAGAGGGATATCACCCTTCTGTGACTCTGATCAGCTCTGGCTTCTAACTAGGGTCAGAAGGCACCGAAGTAGACCAAAGAAGAGTAGAGCTGTTCCAGGGATTATAGTTTCATTCAGGCAGTTTTCCCTGTGTCCACAGTTGTGTCAAGTGAAGACAGAATTCCCTTGGCTAAGACTCTACCTCTGAAGGGTCTTCACAGCTTCTCTCTTCTTTTGATTCCACATTTCCAGTGTCTGCCATGGTCTGGGTTTGTGATGATCTTCCATCTATAGAAACTTGGCTCTCCTGAGCATCGTATCTGGGAGAAAGCCAAGGATCCTCCACATCGGAGTGTGAAGGGAAGAAACCTCTATCTGGGATGTCATCAGGCCCACTCAGCTCTGTTGCCATCTCCACATTCCTTTCCTTCTGTGGCCTTTTCCTTTTGGCTCCTGCTTTTTTTTCTTTGGGAATTAGCTCTGATTTCTTTTCAGACATTGAGTCCTTTGACTTGCCTGGGGGGGAGAATAATTGGGGACAGAGGTATAACTGAATTAAGGAAATGTGTCTCTGCACAACCTTTTAAGTACCTTTTAAACTTTAGCATGCAATGGAATCATCTGGGGTAAAGACTCTTGAGCCCCAGGTGGGTCAGTAGGAATCTGCATTTGATAACCACCTGTACTGTTTTAACTGGTTGTCAGACTACCTGTTGAGAAACTGCTTTATCCTATTTAGATCAATTGTCATTCAGCAGTTATTATGGTTTAGATGTGAATGTCTCCGAAAAACTCATGCAAGACAACTTAGAGGTGAATTGATTGGTTTATGAGAGTATTAACCTAATCAGTGCATTAATCCCCTGATAGAGATTAACTGGTAGTAATTGTAGGCAGGTAAATGTGACTGGAGGAGGTTGATGGGGACGTGCCCTTGGGGTTTATATTTTGGCCATGGAGGGGGGAGCAGTCTCTCTCTGCTTCCTGGTGGCCTGTCCTGAGCTGCTCTCCTCCTCCACATCCTTTTGCCATGGTGTTTTGCCTCACCTTGGGCCCAGAGCAATGGAGTCAGCTGGCTATGGACTGAGATCTCTGATTGTGAGCACCAACATAAACTTTTTCTTCTCTAAAATTGCTTTTGTCAGGTCTCTTTTATTATTAGTCACAGCAGTGCAAAAACTGACTAAAACAGCAGTGTTGCTATTTTTAAAACTCCATTTTACCCTGACCTATAGGGGTGTCAAGACTTTGTGGGGAGACCTGAAACACAACTGGAAAGTCCTACCCAGAGAATCTGACTTGAGGTTGCCCCTCTGTAACCTGGTGAAGTTGAATACCCTCAGGACTCAGTTCACCTCTGGGAGCCATGAAGAGTTCCTTTTCCTAATCCTGTCAATGCCAGGGACTACACAATGTAAATTCAGCAGGAGTTTATAAAGATAAACATCAAAAATAGATCTGACCCAAGAGTGTCTCCAGTCCTGTCCTTTCCAACAGTACTGGTTTTGTTTGGAGGGTCTTCTGAATCATGTGGGAGGTAAAGGGTGGGTGTTAAGTGTTAAGCTGAAGGATGTCTTCAGAAGCATAGGAATCTGGATTCCTTGTAAGGTGACTGAGGGAACTGAGAAGAAACATGGTTCTGGAAAGATCATTCAGAGCTTGTTGAACCTTCCCCATTCCCAAATGCTCTCACCACCCAATATGATTATGACTTACGGGTTGAGCATCCCTTATCAGAAATGCTTGGATCAGAAATGTTTTGGATTGAATGTTTTCTGATTCTGGAATGTATTTGTTATATTTATATTATACCATATTACATCATGTTACATTATATTATACCTTAATGAGATAGGTGGTACCCAAGTCTAAACAGAAAATTTATTTATACTTCATATACACCTTATACACACAGCTTGAAGATAATTTTATACAATATTTTAGTGTGCCTGCATTATGATCATAACCCATCACGTGAGGTCAGGTGTGGAAATATTCCACTTTGGGCATCTTGTCAGTGTTTAAAAAGTTCCAGATTTTGGAACATTTTAGATTTTGGATTTTCAGATTAGGGATACTCAACCTGGAGTCAAGTGGTACCAGTGCAGTGGTAACAGTGTGCATTGGGAGTCAAATAGGAAAGGATAAACCCTAGGTCCACCTCTTTACTATCTCTTTGATATTATGTAAGTCACCCACAGCAGCACTCACAGAGATGTTCTGAGGATTTCATGAGCTCCTAATGCAGCAGGTATTCAATAAATGTGTGCTGTTATTATTAGTATTACCATTTCTTCCTTTGGTAACCTCAGGTCTCCAGAACCCCACCCCAGTCTCTATCCCTGTCTACTAAGATAGTGATATGCAGTAAGATAGCACTGCTGTTTAAACCAGGGTAGTCAAGGAGACTCAAGACAGTGAGCTTGCCCTACAGAATTAATGCTGATTCCAGGTACCACCTCCTACCCCTATCAGGAGACTTCTGGATTGTTCCTCACAGACACACTCTTACCTAAAATAGCCTTTGCTTCTCCAGGGACATTTCCTTCATTCCCCTTCTTGGGTGCTTTGGTCTTATCTGTCTTGATTCTTTTCTTTCTCTTGGACTTGTCGATCAACTCCCTCTCCTAAAGGTAAGAAATTAAGGAAAGGAAAAAGCCATCAAGGGAAGATCACATTGAACAACGTGACATAATGGCTTGAAATGGTTTGTGTGGGTTCTGAATCAGCAGAACAGTGAGTCTTAGAGAATTTGGAGCCAGTGGGGAGAGTTGAAGTTTGAATCTTTGATTTAAAACAGCTAGGATAATTTCATGGGAGAAAATACACTTTATGACCTGCCTCCTTTTTTGATGCTAAATCATGATCTACAGAGCTGAATCCAGGTGAAGCAGTTTTCACCTTTAATAGATTGGTGCTGTCATGTCAGTCTTCACCTTTCCCATGGGCTGCCTCAACATGGAGGTTCCTCTTAAGACAGGATGGTAGTGTGGGGACATGGTTGCCCATTCAGTACCTTTGAAGGAATTAGCAATGGATTCTGCCCTTCAGGATGATGTTCCCTAATACTGAGGTGATGACAGCTGGCTGTCAGCCACCACGCCCTTTGTCAGGTGCCTTTGTATAGTGAATAGCTCATACCAGTGTACATGGTAGCCTTGGCAGGATCCAGGTAGGGTTTTTGAACCAAACTTCAAGGTGTTCACACTCACATTGCTTATGCTGGCTGGTGCCTCCTGGTTGAATAATCTTGGTCCAATCTTCCCTTCTCTTTCTCTTAGAAGAGACATATCCACAGTACCAGTCTTCTCTGGAGACTCAGGCCTACTACCTGGAAGTCCTCTGTACAGGTGTTGTGCCTCATAATTGCTGCCTCTTTTAAATGAGCAAAGCAACAGGACCAATGAAAGAAAATTCTGGCAGTAAGGAAGAGAGTAGTGGACAGACATCAACTGAGCACCTGTTCTCTGGCAGGCACTGTGTGGGGTGTTTGACATACTTAGTCAGCTTTCTTTTCCTCAGCATATCCCTGGATAAGAGAGATGAGAGCTGGGCGCAGTGGTGCACACCCGTAACCACAGTGGCTCGGTAGGCTGAGGCAGGAAGATCGTGAGTTCAAAGCCAGTCACAGCAAAAGCCAGGATGCTAAACAACTCAGTGAGGCCCTGTCTCTAAATAAAATACAAAAAAATAGGGCTGGGGATGTGGCTCAGTGGTTGAATGCCCCTGAGTTCAATCCCTAATAATCCCCCCTAACCCCTCCCAAAAGAGAGATCAGAATGATCTAACTTAGTGGAAGAAATACTTTGCCTTTTTGCATTTGCACATTTATGCCTTTAATTAAATGAAATAAAAAGTTGTAACTGAAATTTCTTCCATCAAAGGCTTAGCTGAAAAAAAAAAAAGTGACCTTTAAAAAAGATTATCTTAGGAACAAGCAACTACTATCCATTTCTTTATCCTCTCTGAGTTTCATTCTTGATCAAATCCAGCCACTGAAAGGTCCTGTGCTGTTAGTTTTATCTGTTGTCATTGCTACCAATTACTAATGTCCTGAGGACAATTGATGTGTGCCCTGTGGGCAGGACACGCCATAGATTGCAGTAGCTGCTGCAACATTGAGTATTGTGTGTCTGCTGTGTGCCAGGCCCCGTTCTGGCATTTTCTCTTTTTATCTAAATCAGTATGATTACTATGCTTTGCTTGTAAAAGGCCTTACTGTGGAAACTTGAGAAATGTTTGTTGAATGAGGTAAATGGAATTTCCTGTAAATATATGAGTCTTTAAATCATTCAGTGTCACTCTATAAAAACCCATAGAAGTCTCCTTAGGATTTAGTGCTAGGAAAACCTTTCTTTTCCCGGAGGAACAGGTAGGCTGCAAATGAGCACCACAAGCCTGATTGCATGCTCCTTTCTTTCTTTTCTTTTCTTTCCTTTCCTTTCCTTTCCTTTCCTTTTCTTTCTTTCTTTCTTTCTCTCTCTCTCTCTCTCTCTCTCTCTCTCTCTCTCTCTCTCTCTCTCTCTCTTTCTTTCTTTCTTTCCCCCTCTCTCCTGTTTAAGAATCTTTATTTTAAATCTGAAATTTAGTCATGGTGACTATAATGGTCATTGTGGGGCTTTTACGTGTTTTCTGGTTCTCCTGATTTAACAAAAATTCTCTTTGATTATTCCATCTTTTTTGATGGTGAGTTGTTGCACTAACCATTTAAATATGTGGTGGAAAAAGGGTGTAAACATTTTAAAATGAAATTCCTGTTGCAGTTGCCTCAATCACCCAAGTGCCCTTCTCCCTTGGTTCCTGGAGGTCAAAAAAATTTGACCTTATACTGCTGGGTAAGTGAAAATCTCAGGGAGGTCACATGGGGCTATGGGTTCCAGGTGGAGGCAGAGATGGCTACACCAGCTGCTGGGTCCAAAGGGGACTCAGGTCAAATGTCTGGGCCTGACTGGCTGAGCTGCTGTCAGAGAGCTCCTAATAAGCAACCAGGGAGAACACAGGAAGCACTCAACACACGTTAGCAATTATCAATAAGTGTTAGTATTATTAATGTTACCCAAAGATGAGAGAATGCTGAGAGGAGAAACCAAGTGAACTGATAGAAAGCTTTCTAGACATCTCTGTAGATCTCAGATATATGGACAATGGAAGAAGATGCCTCCAATACTGTTAAACTTCACTCCTCATCCAACTAGCAGAGTATGTGGTTTGAGTAGGAAACTCATCACAATGTAAATTTGTTTCTTTCCATTCTGGCTGTCAGCATGTTGTGTCAGTTGAGAATGCTCATGAGTCTCAGAAAACCAAACCAAACCAAACCCAAACCAAAACCCCAGAAACAAAATTAATTAAAAACAAAGAGAAACAAAAGCAGGGAAGTCCGCATTGTTACAAATTTGAACACTTACGTGTTTTTCATAAAATCTGCCTCAGGGGTCTGGATATGTTCAGCCAGGGAAGCACTGGGGGGGTCAGTCACACTCCTTCGCTCTGGGTCTGTGAAAAAACAGAAGATCCTCCATCAGCAAAGGACACGGGTAATTATCCCAGGCGGGGATTAGACGGGGAAGTGTCCATCTGTGTGAGTAGTCAACAGTCTGCAAATTGGAACAATGACGTATGTTACACTTGGAAAATTAGCAAATACTGTGGGAACCAGTACTGTCACAGGGCAAGTGACATTGAAATTAGTATTAAAATATCTTCGGGTAAAGTAATATAACAGTGTGTATCAAGAATCAGAAAAATGTTCTGGTCTTTGATTGGGACTCTTACTCCTGGGCATTTATCCTACAGAAATAACTCAAAAGAAGAAACAGTTTTTGAACCACTTATTTATTATGTTATTGTCAATAATGAAAATTAGAAACAGCTCAACAAGGGAGACTTTCCTTGTAATTTATGATGAATTACTTTGACACTTAAAATTGTTGTTAAAAAGAAAAAATAAATAATATGGAAAGAGTTTCTGATATAGGACAAGTAAAAATACGGACTATAGAATAGTGTGTTAGAACTCAATAATGTCTGGGTGGATAAGGACTGGAAGAGAAAACAGGAAAAGGAAATAATATGTTAGATGGGGATGTTTGTATAGATGCTTCAATTTTTTCCCTAAAACCCCAGTGTGGTTATAACATTGAAAAGCAAATTAATTTAAAAAACAAACGTTACCCTATGAGGAAGGAGACACATGTCCCATTACCAGGGCTTCTTTGCAGCTTGAGTTCCTTTCATTCATCCCTAAGCATTCAGATGGCATTCACTCTCTCACACAACTTCCAGATTTTGGAGAGGGGACAAGAATGAGATTGAGAAAAATGGAAATGCTGACTTAGGGCTATGCCTGGGAATTAATTTTGCTTCCAATAATATGCAACATTAACAGAGAGCAGGAGCTGATTAGCGAATCTTCACAAAAAGAGGAATTCTGTGAGGGTTTCTTTAGAGTGGCTGGCTCAGAAAAAAACACAGGTCTTCGCAATTTTCAAACTTGGGTGCAGGGCGCAATGCAACCAGCAGAGGGCGCGTTTGCATTGCCCAAAAGCAGAGGTTCTACATTGGTGTAATTTCAACATTTTTGATTAGAATTGATGTGAAGGACAGAAGGGTGACTTCTTTCCCTTAGTAAAGTAACCTGATATTTAGGAAGTACTGGAACAAATTAAGGCAGAACTTTGAATAATAACTTACAATTTTTTTAGTTGTAGGTGGACACAATATATTTCTTTCATTTTTATGTGGTGCTGAGGATTGAACTCAGTGCCTCATGCTTGCTAGGAGAGCACTCTACTTCTGATCCACAACCCCAGCCCCGAAATTTTAACTTCTTTAAAAAATATATACAATATCTTAAATGTGATTTACCTCCAAATACCATCACACTGGTGATTAGGTTTCAACATAAGAAGTTTTGGGGGGGAGGGACACATTCAGATCATAACAGCTATTTTTGGCTGTTATATGAATTTTAGGATCAACTAATCTTGCTCTGACAAAAAACCTGTCAGGGATTTAAAAAAAATATTTTTAGTTATAGATGAACACAATACTTTTATTTTATATATTTATTTTCATGTAATGCTGAAGATTGAACCCAGTGCTCACATGTGCTTGGCAAGTGCTCTACCACTAAGCTACAACTTCAGCTTCTGTCAGGGATTTTTTAAAAATTGGAATTTCATGAAAGTATAGATTAGGGAAATTGTTATGTTTATGATGGAGATTCATCCTATCTATGGACACCGTACACAGTATTATATAGAACATTATACTTATTCAGGTATACTTTTGCTTAATTTAATGAAATATAATTTCTTCATGAAAGTCTCACACATCTTTTTATACATTTATTGCCAGAATATATGTTATATTTAAAAATCATATTTTCATCTGTTTAAATCCACAAGTACATGATACTAAAAAAAAAACAAGGTCACTATAGGAGGATCCTGGGGAACTGACTCATTATTATGACAACTGATACATAAAAGCATAACACTGAGCATTTATCGTTTCTTCCTACATAAGCTATACCACTGGATAACTAAATAGTAGATGAGGAAAATTTTATTTTTGTAGAGTTTCTTAACTAATACATGAAAAAAGAATGATAGCATTTCATTATCACTATTTTGCAAACTCTAATGAGTTGATGGACCTATAGCCATTGGCATCATGGAGATGAGGAAATACCATGTGTCCTGAAAGAGAAACACACATAAATTATATCAAGAGCTGCACCATCAACGAAATCTAGTCCGTGGGAAACCCAACAGGACACATGATACAGTTTCCTAATAAAGTAAAAGGAGAAAAAAAGAGAAATGAATGGAATCTATAATTTAAATGATACTTAAGACCATATTGAGCACTTGTAAACAAATTCAAAAACAATTATAAAACTCTGAAAACTGACTACTCATCTATAATAAGGAATTGTTTGGATTTTAGGTGTAATAATAGTATCATGGCTATGTCCAGAGTCTTTTTTTGTCTTTTAGAGATATATGCTTAAATATATGGGTAAAGTGATTTGATCCTGGAATTTGTTTCATAAAAACATGGAAGAGAGGAAGGCGTTGGGGTTATGAATGAACAATGTTGGCCAAGAGATGAGAACACAGGATTCATTTTGCTGTCCAGCTGCCTTTGTGAATGTTCAGGTTTTTTCCTACAATAACAAGTGTTTTAAAATTTCATTTTAAATTGTGCTTTTTTGCGTTTTGAAACACTGTTTTTCCCACAAGTGATTTCTGTTTGTTTGTCTATATTTAGTAATTTGGTTAGATTCTTTTGTCTTTTAAGGGCTCACCTGTTGTTATGGTTTAGATTGTAAATGTCCCCAAAAAACCATGTGCTAGGGGCTTAGTCACCATCCTGTGGTGCTATTGGGAGGGAGTGGACCTTTAAGAGGTGGAGCCTTGTGGAAGGAAGTTAGGTCATTGGGGGTGTGCTTGTGAAGGGAATATTGGGATTCCTAGCCCCTTCTGTGCTCTCTCTCTGCTTCTTGGCCACCATGAGGTGAGCAACTTTACTCTGTGGTGCTCTCTGCCATGATGTTTTTCTTTGCTACAGGCCCAATGAGATGGGACCAAGTGACCACAAACTGAAACCTCTGAAACTGAGCCAAAATAAACCTTTCCTCCTTATAAGTGGTTTATGTCAGGTATTTTGTCACAGCAATAGAAAGTTGACTAACACATCTGTAGAGCCCTTTCATAGAAGTAATAATATTGTCTGGGAATAATGACAGTGTCATATCCTCCTTTCCCTCCTTCCAGCTTACTTTTTCTTTTGTTTTCCTTACTGTGCAGACTAGGACATCGAGTATGATGGAGGAACAATGTTAGAGGGGATCCTTGTCCCAGTCGTGTCTAGAGACACTACTTTGAAGGCTCTACCATTTGTGTGTGGTGATTGATGGTACTATAGATATTTGTATGCTATCAAAATCAGGAAGTCCTTTTTTATTCGTAGTTTGATTTTTTTTTTTTTTAGATGGGGGGGTCTTGCTATGTTTCCCAGTCTGTGTAGAATTCCTGGGCCACAGCCATACTCCCGCCTTAGCCTCCTCAGTACCCACTGTGCCTGGCTGATAATTTTTAATCATAAATAGGTGAATTTTATAAATTTTACTTCTCTTTGCATATCTACAAAATGACCCTAAGACTTTCTCCTTTAACTTTTTAAAAATTTTTTTTAATATTTATTTTTTTTTTCAGCAGACACAACATCTTTGTTTGTATGTGGTGCTGAGGATCGAACCCAGGTGGCATGCATGCCAGACGAGCGCGCTACCGCTTGAGCCACATCCCCAGCCCTAACTTTTTTTTTTAATATTTATTTTTTAGTTGAAAGCAATATTTTTTTAAAATTTATTTTTATGTGGTACTGAGGATCGAACCCAGGGCCTCGAATGTGCTAGGCAAGTGCTTACCACTGAGCCACAACCCCAGCCCTCCCCTTTAAGTTCTTGAAGGGAATTACATAATCAATCATATTTTCAAATCTTAGGCCATCTTTGAATTCCTGTGATAAACTCAATTCTGTCATGGTGTATTTTTTTTTTTTTAAAGTACAAACTTATGGATTTGCTTGGCTACTATTTGTTTAGGAGTTTTGCATCTTTGATCATAAGTAAGATTGGCCTATCATTTTCTTTTTTAGGCTGTCCTTGCCTCTGGCTTCAGCTGCCTTTGGGTTTTGGTAAATTTATGTCCCTTTTTAGAAATGAGCTTTCTTTCCTGAAGGTGAAGAGAATTTTCAGAATAAAGGGGCAACAGCTGTGTTCTGGGGACTTTTTGGGGGTCCCAGGCTGGGCTGAATGGGGAATAAGCCAGGAACATTCTTAGGAATCTGCTACCACCCACCTCTCCTCTCCCAGCATGAAAGAGAACTTTGAAATCTTTTCTAGAGGAAAACCAAAGCAATGCAGAGTGTGTAGGTCATGTCATCTAGGTGCTAAGAACCAGCAGGATATTCTGAACCTAGGCTCAGGTAGAGTGCTGGCAGCATGCTGAGACTGAAGTCCTCTCTGGAGCAGTGTGGGCTGGAGGACCTCAGGAGCACTTGACGAGGCTGATCTTCTTACAGGACGCCTGCTGGGCTCTAGATTCTAGTGAGTGGCACCACCTTGACTCCTGGGCACAGGCTTCTGCTCCTCCTATTTCCTCCACTTCTTTGCACAGGTTGGGTGGCCATGATATTTGATATAAGAACTGCCCTTGAGGAAAGACCTGTAAAACTAAACTGAACTAAACCACATACCCACAAACACGGGAAGGAGACTCCAGTTACCTTGGTTTTGATAATTACTTGTGGCTGCATAATTCTCTTAACTTGTAGGCCTCAGGTTCCTTCAACCATAATATAAAATAATTTCTAGGGACTCCAAATAATCTCCACGATTCATGCTAGCTTAAAAAAAAAAGCTACCATAATTTTTGTCATACATCTCTGACTTTGTAACTATTTCCTAGTCAAAAACACATGGT